AAGTTCACTGTCAATAACTGTGTCTAATACATTATCTATTTTTACAAATAATACCAATTTTCACTCATTTGATACTTATTTTTACATAATATCATAGTTAGAGATGAAAGACATCAACCGTTTTTGAACTTTGACATGTTGTCGTATGAAATTGAAATTTATCTGAACATCATGTTCATACACAATTTTATAATATCCTTTTAAATAATATTAATTTAAAGAGTAGCCTTTGTACTCCTAATAAATACTGCATTGCGCTAGTATTTTAACAATCAATACTAAACTAATGCTAGAAAAACAATGAAATTGTTTACAATATATTTTCAAACTATAAGGTGCATTGCCACGTGACAGAGAGACATTGCCAGAACTGGAAAGCATTCTTGCAAAAGCCGCAGGTTTACAATAAGTCAAGAAATCTATCCAGCTTTATCATACATGTTATATATATATATATATACATATAATAAAAGAAACAAAAATAAATATATAGATATGGCTAGTTCCTTTTCATATTATTCAGGGTATTTATGCTCGAATGTGTGTGTTTGCGTATGATGTCTGGGCCTCAATCTCAAAACCTTTCAGATAGTAACGTTGTCACTAATTCCTCATATTCAGTAATCCATTCCTAACGCAATGGTATTGGGCTAATCCTACCTTTCCGATAAAAATGAAGTCCTTACGCTTCACACTCAGCGAAGCTGTATCGAGGATGCCCCCGTTTTCGGCCGAATCAGCGTTTTCGGGGCTATAGATACATTTGAGCCTCGAAATGCTGTGAGCATCGAATACTGAACAATAATGCATCCTAATGAAGCGAATACTGTGCGCCTTTGAAAAGATAAAATGTGTAGTTGGGACTCACTCTGGAGGGCATCGCGTTTTGCCGAAACTTTGCTTAACTCCGCTTCGAGGTGGTCACGCCTCATCTGCAGTTGGTCGAGGAGTTGCTGGGCCTCGTATATACTCGCCTCCAAGGCCTCCTTGTCAGCTCGCAGACTGCTCACCGCGTCGTTGAGTTGGCGGTTCTCGCGTTCATATGAGTTCAACTTTGGATTGGTGGTGTTGAGTAAATGGTGGCGGGTATAGAATTGGGTTATTTAATTTTACTGCAGGAATAGGGAACGGGTATAGGACTAAAGGAAAAATGTCTAAACTTTAAGTGAAATCGGGTTAAAACTGCTCAGCACTAACCATAACCATCTCAGTGACACTACCCTCTCTGTACTACTTCACTGTATGCATAAATAATAGCAGCAGTA